CCCCCCCTTTAAACCATATTGTAATCAGACATTACCAACCCCTCCAAGCTATTGCTATGCATTCCCCTTACTCATGCGGTTCGTTCTCGATCGAAACGGTAGTAATCCATGCTGGAGACTTTTCACAGGAAGCCAGCACGTCGGCTATGGTCGCGCGCACCTTGAGAATAGTTTCCTCTTTCAGATCGATCGATTGGGAATCGCCTTCAAGACGGAGCATATCGTCCACCAGCTGTCGGTTGCTTAAGAGACCCGCCAGCAAGAGTCGTTGAATCTGCACTCGAAGCCTATCAAGTTTGTTGAGCTCCGATAGATTGGTAAATGAAAAGCGAGGCGTCAGGATATGTCGTGCGGGGGGGAGGAGGGATTCCAACGGTACGGAATTAAGCTCCTGCATGATCTCCCACACCATCGGTAGGGCGCAGTAGCTTGAATATGAGAGCACCGTGTGCGGCTTTGCAAGACAACGCTTCGAGAGGTTTGCGTCTGCGGTGAAATGCGAACGCGTTTGGGCGTAGTGCGCTTCTAGGGTGTGGTTTTGAAGTCCTTCCAAAACTTGCGCGGCGGTGATGTCGTAGTTATCCGCGCTTTCGAGTTTCTGAGCATACAAAAAGTACTCCAGCAACTGCGACACATCGTCCTCGGTCGTTTCTTCACACTCCGTGAGGACGTGAAGGAGGTGTTGGTAGCGCTCCTTCAAACGACAGGCCGCCCTTTCCAAGAACGTTTCAATATTTCCCTGGTTAATCACGGGTCCGTGAGGGCCATCCCTCGGCTCGTTTGGGTTTGCCAGCGAGGCGGGCTGGCGTGGAAGCTTTCGAGCGGCCCCGCCCCCCTTCCACAGACTCGATACCTCGGATGGAAAGCGAAAGGAGGCGACCTGGCGGTGCAAAATGTCCCCCACCTCCACTTCCTTCGCCTGCCGTTTAAGGGATTCTAAGGTCGTCAACTTGGTGCGAATGGACATCGAGTCAAGCTCCTCCATCCGCCCCTGGAGCTGCGCGAGCTGTGTGTCTAAACTCAGCGTGGTATTCGCAATCGACGCCAACTCCACCTCGGGCCGCCCACCGGACGCGGCAGGAATGGCCGAGGTCGAAAGAACTTCCCCCTCGGCTTTGCCGGGGGTTGCTTTCCCCGTTCGGTAGGGCCGGCGCGGGGGTTGGCCGCCTGGCGAGGCCGAAAAATGCGTTGGTTGGGGATGTTTGGTGCTCTGGATCTGCTTGGGGGCCGGTCCCCCGTACGGGGGTTCCAACCCCTCAGCTCGCAGTGGTTTGGCTTTCCGACGTTCCTCACGAGACAGGGAAACTAGGCGATCCATCACATGGAGTTTTTGGCTCTCTTCGCTTAATGAGCTGACTTTAGCTTCGTACGCTTTCAAAAGTGCCTCTTCGCTATGCATCTGGTGAAGTACCTTTCGTAAATCATCCACCTCACACTGAACGGCGTCCGCATGCACACTCGTCGAGAGGGCGACAAAACCCAGAAAATCATAGGAGTTTCCCTCCTCAGCCATTTAACTTGTGTGTGTGTGTGTAGTGATGACTTCTGCTCTTGAAAGGAATACAAAATGTGTAAAGATAGTGAACCATAGAGTCAGAATTTACCATCCACTTACACACACAACATAAATAAATAAACGATGTCAAGTACATGAGAAGTATGGTTCGTCAAAGGTTAGAAGGTCACCGGTAGTTCGGCTCTGTGAACACACCATATTCGAACAAGTTTCGTGGACCGACCGATTTTTTTGAATTCCGCACTGTGTGTCTGGCACCATGTATTGTAAAAGAATAAGAAATATAACTTCGCTACTTTTATGATATTTCCCCTTCTTTATTCCTTTGCAGAACAGTACGATAAATACATTCCAAAAAAAAAACCCTAAATGCGGTAGTTTATCCACAGAAACCCTGACAGCATCTCAGCTGGCAACTTTAGCTAAATAAAAGCCACACAGTGAAGTTTGATATTATTTCCATCATTTAATATCTTATGCAGTGTAAAGTCAAACTTCAAGTCGGTGTCTACAAAAAATGCGGTTTAGTATTCTTAGAGAACTGAATATTTTTAAAATTAGATGAGATGTATCTTCTTAATTCACCAGAAGGTCAACTGTTTAATTCATCAGGTGTGAATTTCTTATTCATAAGGCCTCAGAAATGTTCGCTCAACGAGTGTAGCCCAATTGGATACCCTCAAATAATTGTGCTTATTCCATTTCATCTTAAAAAAAAAACATAGATTATTCCTTTGGAATGCAAATTTAATTGAATGAGCTAAAATCTAGTAAATTAATAACCGGAAGCAAGTGGGTTCTTGGGGAAAGTTGATTTGACCGATAAAAAAGGATTAACCGATCAGATAAGCCTCACGAGGTCTGCTTCCAGTAATATAAATTAATAACCCATAACCTTTGGTTAGGTAAACTGAATATGGTTCAATGACTCCTTTTTTCACCTTTTAGTTTTATTTATATAAATCCCACTGCGGTTAATAATTTTCAGTTCATACACGCCCCCTCATTGAATACGCGCGTAGAATAGGGCGCTATGAGCCCAGCCGGCATACGGCCCAAACAGAGTTCGAAACCCCTCTTGAATCGCATCATGATGCTTTGGAAGGAGTGCTATAGTCTTTAGATTCCTCTTCTGCTTTTCCTTCGGCTCGGCTTCTTTTCGCCCCGCACGCCTCGGGGACTGCGGTTGTTTAGCGGGTTTGACTTCGCGATCGATCTGGCGGCGCCAATCGGCCAGGACCTGCCCCCAGTCTGGCATTATTTCCGCACCCAATTGGGGCGTATCGGGCGCCAAGTATTCCGCGGCGATCTGCAGGATGTGCGTATCCACCGGCACGAGCGCCGGGTGCCCGACCCCGAAGAGGAGTGTGCAGTCCGCCACTTTACGCCCGACCCCGCTAAGCTCCATCAACAGCCCCCGCTGCGCGGCCCCATCCCGAAGTGAAAGCAATTGCGCATAAAAAGGCTCCTCCCGGGTCGTTTGCGCGTGCGAAAGGCGCCCGCCCGCCTCGCAGTCCGGCGGGGCTGTCGAAGAGGACAAGGCGGCGGCGGAGCGAACCTGTCGAGAGGCCTCCACGAGGTACCGGCTGCGGTAG